AATTATTATCTTGACGTGGATTTAAGGGTATACACACACACACACACTCTCGTTCTCACACACACACTCTCTCGCACTCACACACACACTCCAAAGTCACTTATTACAAACATACGTTTTAAAAAAATTAACATTTTCTTTACGGATGTATAATTTTATGTCATATAAATGGACAATATTTAGATGTCTTTATTTACCACAGACCTTGTTTTACTCGAAAACTGAAAACCCATTATATCCAGAGGAACCTGTGGAGAATTAGTTTTCTGGCTTCTGATATTGCTCTTCATAAATGTACGAAAACAAAGAACTTCAAAATCATGTCAATAAATAGTTAAACTACCTGAACAGGTAATGGGCTGAAACAAGTTTCACAGCTTCTTCAGTCTTACATTATCCTGTTGTTTTTAAATTGTTTCTATTTCAAGGAATCATGTCTAAAATGACTTTCCTGACAGACAGATGCAGATTCTCCGGACTGCTTTTAGGGTTCATCATAATAATAATAATAATAATAATAATAATGTGATTCAGTCATAATCATGTCACATCTCATCACACCGACACTGGCAGGGTTCATCATTTTTCTCTTTTCTAGAGCAGGGTTTACATGGACTCAAATAATGGTTTAACAACTATAAACATGTCAATAAAGACACTGTCCACATTCTTTCTGGATCATAATTACTGAGAGGTGTATAAGTCATTTTTAATGCAGCCAGTCATGACATTGTGGACTGGGCTGTTTAATCAAGCTGTTAAAACTCTGCTGCCCTCGTCTGGAAACAATGAACAAACGCATGTTCAAGTCAAATAAACAGAACCTGCAGGGGCCTCGTTTATAAAGTGTGTGTACGCACAGATTTGATCTTAGAGAGCGTGTACACTAAAATCCACAGCGACGTTCATATTTATAATAGCGGTGTTTGACGAGGGACCGAGGAAAGAGGACAGAGGAACAGAGGAAAGAGGGACAGAGAAAAGAGGGACAGAGGACAGAGGAACAGAGAACAGAGGAAAGAGGGACAGAGGAAAGAGGGACAGAGGAACAGAGGAAAGAGGGACAGAGGAACAGAGGACAGGAGAACAGAGGAAAGAGGGACAGAGGAAAGAGGGACAGAGGACAGAGGGACAGAGGAACAGAGGGAAAGGGACAGAGGAAAGAGGAACAGAGGAAAGAGGGACAGACGAAAGAGGGACAGAGGGACATAGGAAAAGAGGGACAGAGGAACAGAGGGACAGAGGAAAAAAGGAAAGGGACAGAGGAAAGAGGGACAGAGGAAAAGAGGAACAGAAGACAGAGGAACAGAGGAAAAGAGGAACAGAGGAAAAGAGCAACAGAGGACAGAGGAAAAGAGGAACAGAGGAAAAGAGGAAAGATGAACAGAGGAAAGAGGAACAGAGGACAGAGGGACAGAGGAAAAGAGGAAAGAGGAACAGAGGAAAGAGGAACAGAGGAACAGAGGAAAAGAGGAAAGAGGAACAGAGGACAGAGGAACAGAAGACAGAGGAACAGAGGAAAAGAGTCAAGTCTGCTTTATTGTCAATTCTTCCACATGTACAGCACATACACACAGAGAATTGAAATTGCGTTACTCTCAGACCCTGCGGAACGAGGGACAGAAGAACAGAGGAAAGAGGAACAGAGGAACATAGGAAAGAGGAACAGGACAGAGGAACAGAGGACAGAGGAACATAGGAAAGAGGAACATAGGAAAGAGGAACAGAGGACAGAGGAAAGAGGGACAGAGGAAAGAGGGACAGAGGAACAGAGGAAAAGAGGAACAGAGGACAGAGGAACAGAGGAACAGAGGACAGATGAACAGAGGACCAGAGGAAAAGAGGACAGAGGAAAAGAGGAACAGTGGAACAGAGGAAAAGAGGAAAAGAGGAAAAGAGGAAAGAGGAACAGAGGAACAGAGGAACAGAGGAAAAGAGGAACAGAGGA